ATTAAAATGAAGTCAATCTTCCTACAACTTGAACACTTTGACTCTAGTTTTGTACCCTCACTCAACAATGAAAAAGCCAACAGCTCTTCCACATAATAGCTCTTCAAATATTTGTAATGAGCCATACCGATGGGTCAGCAAGAAGAATAAACACATCTGTCTACATATATACTCCTCACATGAATTCGATCCTGTACATCAGCTTAACCTTCCCCTCTAACTGTCCTCCAAGATAATGACATGCCTCTAAAAATGCAGGAAATGGAAATTGACACTATCCCTTGGCGTTTATCTTACCAGAGTGGAGTGAAGTGGAAAAGTCTTCTTTTATCCCAGTACTATGTCTCTGAATGTGGCCTACATCTATTGACTAATATACTGACTTTAGAGTCACATAAAATTTCTAGATTTTTCTTATAAAAATGTTCAGAGCAGGGATATTTTGTAGCTTCCACATTTCACTTTTTTAGATAGTATTTAGGAATAAGACTAGCTTTTTTAATTTGTGATTCCTATCCATATTAGTAATCCAGAAATCAGACATCTGTGTTGCTGAAATGTTCATATCCAAGTGATTGGGAGATGTGTCTATCAAGCAGTCAGTGAGTCTTAACCATGCCATGAGAAACCGTGAGCTAGGTGGCATCACTCTATTCATTGGCACTATTAGGGCAGGATTATTCAACCAATTACAACTCCCACCTAATTTTTCCATCACCCACACCCTGTTTTGAAATCTTATCCACAGGATGTCATGAGTCACAGATTGCCCACTACCTTTCCTGTTCTGTTACTGAGTAACTCTGTCAATGAAACAAATGAACTTTGTTTGACACAGCTAGTTTTAACACAGCTTAATTTGTTTTGTTTCAAATAGGTTAATGCTGCCCAGCCAGCACAGCTCAGTGGTTGAACATTGACCTATGATCCAGGAAATTAGGGTTCAATTCCCAGTCAGGGCACATGCCCGAGTTGTGAGCTCAATCCTAGTAGGAGGCATGCAGGAGGCAGCCGATCAATGACTCTCATCATTGATGTTTCTATATTTCTCTTCCTCTCCCTTCCTCTCTCTGAAATCAATAAAAATATATTATAAAAACATAGGTTAGCCTGGCCAGGCATGGCTCAGCAGCTGAGCATCAACTGACCTAGGATCCAGGAGATCACGGTTCGATTCCTGGTCAGGGCACATGCCCAGGTTGCGGGCTGGATCCCCAGTCGGGGGTGTGCAGGAGGCAGCTGATCAATGACTCTCATCATTGATGTTTCTATCTCTCTCTCTCTCCCTTTCCCTTCTCTTTGAAATCAAAATGGGTTAATGCTTTCTGGTAAAACTAAAAATCAAGCCAGCCAAGGATTCTAACTACTGATGCATAGTCATGGATCTTGAGTTTCAGAACCCCTGTTTCTAGCTGTTTGGATAGGACACACAACATAGCAGATAAACTTTTCTAGGCCAGAAACATACTAAAGGTTTAGTTTTATTTTAAATGAAAGGCTGTATATGTTTATGTATAGGGATTTCCATATTCATATTGCCTTTGCTAATAATACATTTGTAAAAACATATGTAGTATACTGAATTTGGTTCTCTGTGGGTTATCAATGTAGTCACATTGACTGATCTCTCATATCTAAAATTTACCTAATTAACCTAGATTTTCAGGTTGTTATATAAGGCAAATAACACCCCCTTTACAATATTTTTCTCTATGAATTACTAAGAATTCCTTCCTTGTGGTTTATCTTCCCTGACAGAACCAAGTGAACATTTCATAGTTTTATTTAGACAAATTTATCCCTCCACACTGTGTTCCATTTAAAGGCATCTAGCATAGCTATCCCCAGGTTAATTTGTGTTTCTCTTCCCTTATGAGATAAATTCTTCAACTAAGAGTTCCAAATCTTAGGACTTGATTCGAAATTTCAGTTTGGTTTTTTGACCCTACCATTCCTCAACCGCATTACTTTCCATGCCATCTTTTTTCATCTTCTACTTTCATTGGTAAAAGAGAAAACATTGGCATGCTGCTGTGTCTAAATTTTCCAGATCAAGATATTGAAAATCATAGTCTTTAGAAATGCTTCCTCAGTTTCTACTGATACATGAGTTAGCAGAACTAGGTGACAGTCCTTGGGGTTGATAAGTTTTCATGGTCTTTCTTTTATAACCTGGGTACACCTTCCAGGGTAAAAGCAGACCCAAGTTCATATCCCTCCAGCAAAGTACAAGTGGTACCATGTACCATTTTCTCTAGTACAAATATGGTTTTTTGGAACCTACTTGTGCCTGTGTTTGTCTTTGAATTTACTCAAATCTTATTTTGAATAAAGACTTTTTATTCTTGGTTTCTTTGGGAACTTTGAATCACCTTCAGTGTAGCACATCTCTAGCTCCCGCGGTATAGGTCTTTGTCTTTTTCATTAGTACCGTAGTCCTTACCATGTTGCGGATTCTGATTTTGTTAATACTCTGCCCTCTGTTGTTCTAGTGAAACAAAATTACTCAGAGCTCAGAAATCTTGTAACTATTGCTAGTTTCTGACTTGGATGGCGTTGATGAGAATGAAATTGTAAATGACTTCCTTCTCTTCTGTTCTGGCATAGAGACACACATCCCTGAAGATGGGTAAGAATGGCTAGGTTCCTAGAAGGATCTATACTTTTCTAACTTTTAACTATACCTTGGATACTCTTTTTTGGCACAATATTGTTGGCAAAACTTCTAGTGATTCATGCCTTAGCAGGATTGGCTCAGTGGTTAGAGAGCCAGCCTGAGGACCAAAGGATTTCAGGTTTGATTCCTGGTCCAGGGCACATACCTTGGTGGCAGGTTTGATCCCAGCATCTGGCGGGCACATGTAGGAGGCAACCAATTAATGCATCTCTCACACGCCCATGTTCCTCTCTCTCTCCCCCTCCTCCCTCTCTTCCATTTTCTCTAAAAATCAATGAAAAAAACATCCTCAGATGAGAATTAAAAAGCAAAACAAAACAAAAACTTCTAGTGATTCAGTAATTAGTCCAAGTTAAATATATATAAAAGTAGAAAGATCTAAGTGAAAGACAAATAAGTATATTTTTAAAAGCAAAACTAAATTATGGAACCTAAGCTGAACATATATGTTGGAATACGAATATATAAAATGATTACTATGTTAGCAAAATAAATATTTTAAAATAATTATTCAACAGTATTGTGATATACACTATAATATACTGGGAATGACAAATAATTTGCTAAGACTATAAGCAGTTGTCAAATTAGGAAAAACAAAATTTAAAACAATGTCTTGAAATAGCCTTTTTTCTGTTGCTGTTAATCCTCAACTGAGGATAGTTTTTCTATTGCTTTTCAGAGAGAATAGGAGGGAGGAGAAAGAGGGAGAGAGAAAGAGAAAGAGAGAGAGAGAGAGACATCGATGTGAGAGAGACACATGGACTGGTTGCCTTCTGAAAGCACCCGGACCAGAAGCGGGGAGGGAGCCCACAACTGAGGCACATGCCCTTGACCAGGAATCGAACTTGCCACCCTTAGGTGCGAGGGCCGACACTGTAACCACTGAGTAACACTGGCCAGGGCTTGAAATAGACATTTTGTATCCAAAAAAATCACATTCCTTCTTTCCTTACGCAATAATATTTTTTGATAGTTTAAGGGGGTCCTCTCTTGAGAAGTGAAAATCCAAGAGAAGTTAATTCTCCTGATAAATAACATTTACTCTCACAGCAAACTGCCCATCAGTTCCCCATGGCTTCTGAGGCGTTGAGTGGCTTTCAGATTGTGGAAGTTGGGAAAGGTGTTTCTGAATAATACTACAGGTGTCTATATGCAAACGTGAAGATTATTCTCAGAAATTATTTTGGCGTCAGGGCAGGAAACTAAGCCTTGTGATTGAGGCATTATTTGTTAACAATCATTCCTTTATTTGAAAAACCAAACGGAGTGCTAAGAAATGTGCAGCATTCTGTTTAGCACTTACTATTGAAAGTAGGAACCAAATCTCTTCCCAATAATTTAACTCTAAGTTAAATAGAAAGACAAGAGGAAAAAATAGAAGATGCAAGCATGAATTAGCAAGATGATGAGAAGAAATTTTAGAAGAAAAATAAATATATAGAAAGACACCAAAAAAAAGCTAAGAATATATATCATCATTTCAAAAACCATATTTTACATATTATTTTTGTTTCAGACAATGATATATATCTCTTTACTTCTCTGTCTCTCCATCTCTCTATCCATCTATCAATCAACCTATGTATATCTGTTTACATAATAACCTAAGGTCATTTCAATTGTTCTGATCTATGCAGTATTTTTATTCAATTAGTCACTGGCAATGACTAATTCTAACACAAATTGCCTTATTCCTTCCTCCACCCTCCCACCTACATGCTGTAGGGTTTGTTAGCAAAAAGCTGTACTAGCTTTAAACAAACCAACCCTGTCCTTTATATTTTATGCCCCACATATCAGAAGGCTTTAGTTTGACTTAAAAATTCTTTTGGATATTTTTGTGGGCTTCTGAATTTTTCCAAAAGAAAGGAAAGCTTTTAAAATTCACATAGCTACGCTTTTATACACATCTACGCTCTAAGCAGCAGAGCACTCAGTGGCTTTAAGCTGGTTTTGAAACACTGGCACTAGGATGAATGTTTCAGTTTTGCAAATTACTGAGACATTGTTTAGTCATCAGTAAGTAAGAATAACAGTAATGACCCTGCCTGGGAGGGTTCTTGTGTCTGTCACCGAGTTAGCACTAAATCAAGTGCAGCTATGCTTATTAACAGAGAAATCGTAAGGACTAAGTTTTACAATAAGTATTGTAACTTTTGTCAAGCATTTTTCAGCTGAATTGGATTTACGAAGCTGATTAAGATGGAAACTTGTCAGGTAGGAAAAAGAAAAAATGAAGAAACTGAGAAATGAAACGAAACAAATGGACACTCAGAGTGATGAAATGAGTAGCAGGAGAAAGTCCAACATGCATACTCACGGAGCTGCCCAAGTCGAGCTTTTTCTTTTTTACCAAACAATCGTCCTATTGAAGACTTGATTCCCTTCTTCTTGGGGGCTTTGTGAAGAGAGTCTTGGCTGCTGTTGGCACTGCCAAGCCCAAGGCTCTCTGGCTCAAGGGAGGCAGCTAAACTACTGCAAAACACAAAAGAGGGCTAATGCACGTTTGGAAGCGACATCTACAAGGTACATACTCAAGACCTGCTTCCTTGATAAAGGTATGAAATGAGAAACAAGTAGGCTTCGGAGGTCAGTTTCCCCCTTTCGGCTCCCCTTTCCTCTTAAGCACACTGAAGTGTGTGTGATTCTCTCGTCCTTAGGGCTCTGAGCCTCCAAACTTTCTCTAGAAAATTTCATTTTGTTCCAAATTATTTTTTTTCCTTTATTTTTTGTACAATCTCAAATCAATCAATGAACATAGGGTGGCCTTGTTAACTACATGTTAGATGACCTTCTATTACTTGGCACTTGATCCTTTATTTCTTTCTCAGAGTGCTTTTAAAATCTTAACATAATGACCTAGGATAAGAAATTTAAATATAATAACAAAGTCTAGCCGATGGTTTCACTGGATTTTCATCTAGCATTCTTTCTCTCAGTTTTGGAACCCAGATCACTTAATTTAAAATCATCTGGTTGGACCCAGCCAGTGTGGCTCAGTGGTTGAGCATCCACCTATGAACCAGGAGGTCACGGTTGGATTCCCGGTCAGGGCACATGGTTTGGGGCTTGATCTCCAATAGGGGGTGTGCGGGAGACAGCCAACCAATCACTCTCTCTCATCATTGATGTTTCTGTCTCTCTCTCACTCTCCCTTGTTCTCTTTGAAATCAATAAAAACATATTTTAAAAAAACATAAGAAAATAAAATCATATGGTAAGGATTCAAAAGTAACAAATTGTATACTCCATCGATCGCTGTATAATTTTTCTTATAGTCCTCAGGTATTCTTTTATGTACATGTTACACTGAAATGACTTTCAAGCAGTTGGTCTAGGTCCCATTCCTGGTCAATGTATTTGACTCTGTATTAACAGGAGAGGTCCAATAGATATTGCCATCACTTTTTTTTCCACAGCTATTAAGTTGACAGTACCATAATGAATTAATTTTACTTATTCATCCTAATTAACTTGAGTTGGCATGCCCCAAACTTCAAAAGCTATTGCTTTAATATGTGACAATATAATTCAGTCTTTTTGTGGACAGTGGAGGAAGTATGTATTTTGAAGCTGGAATAATTTTTTTTTCCCACATCCGAAATAGAAATAAACAAAAGAGAAAGAATGCCCACCAGAACAGAAAGCTCTGTTTTCAAAAATATTTGTTGTAAAACACATAGCATTTAGAACACAGATTCTTAAAAAAAAAAAAAAAGAACACAGATTCTTAAAGTATTAATCATTGTTATGTTCAGTTATATCAATTATGTGTCTAGAGATGCTGCAATTGATGACAGTAAAAGGTCATACATTTAAGATTAAATTGCATGCTTAGATTTATTTATGTCATTAATTATTACAGAGACCTGCTTACAATTTTTAGGCAGATGGAAAGGACAGTATAAAGAGTCATTATGACAGATGGGAAATTTCCCAATGTAACCTTATCTTTTCCTTTAAAATTTTGTAAATGTGTTTGTTTTTTTTCCTTTCTAAGAACTTTCTGCCGGAAGAGCAGCGACAGCCAAAGGATGGTGTACCTACCAGTCTGCTGAACGGAAATGGGGCACAACCATGGACTTTTCAGACCTTAATTACTCTGATGCTCCATGACAAATTTTAGTCTTGTCCTGGAGGGAAGCAGAACACACCACCTCGGAATTTACCACTTTGGCATGCAGATTATTTTAAACTGAAGACAATCTGAGTCCAACACTCCCAGGAGGAGCTTTTTAGCTCCCTGTAACTGCCCAGAAGAAGTTAGATAGGGGGCCTAGAGCAGGAAGAGAGCTATTAAGAGGGAGAACTTTTTATATCAGAAGGACTTATCTGCATAGCATGGCAAACATTTATTTATCAAACAGATGATCTTCTCATTTTTCTATGAATTGTCTTCCTCCCCTTTGAAGCCCCAGACCTGTAACCCCTTCTCCTTAGCTCAGGTATATAAGCCTCAATATAAATCTGACTGTCAGGAAGTCTCATAATTTTATGGGGCTCCCATATGAATGAGTTATGTTTTTCTCCTGTTAATCTGTCTTGTGTCAATTTAATTTAGAGCAGCCAAAGAACCTAAAAGGAAAGAAGGGAAACATTTTCTGTCCATACATCCTAAAATCCCTGTAGGTTTTGTTACTATTCTTAATGTTATTCCTCTATCTTGATTCCATTTTTTAAAAAAATATATCTTTATTGATTTCAGAGAGAGGAAGGGAGAGGGAGAGAGAGAGAAACATCAATGATGAGAGAGTCACCGATCGGCTGCCTCCTGCATGCCCCCCTCTGGGGATCCAACCCGCAACCTGGGCCTGGACCCTCACCGGGAATCGAACCGAGATCTCCTGGGTCCTAGGTTGATGCTCAACCGCTGAGCCACGCCCAGCCAGGCAATCCTGATTCCATTTTAATAAGAAATATACACCAAAAATAGAAAAGCTGTTCTTAGAAGTATTGGCTAATAACAAGACCACAAATATAAAGTTAATTTTAACACTAAAAATTTGATCACAGAATGAAAATTTGTTCTTTTCACAAGTGATATGACTTTTTTAATTTATTTATTTCACAAGTTGAAATAAAAAAAATCACATAAAATTTGAAGCAGTCTACTGACCACACTGATAGGAAGAGGAATGTTTTCAGGAGGAGCGCACAGGCTGTCGGGAGCTGGGAGAGGCATACCTTCTGGCCTCGTTGTGGTAGGAAGAAGGGAGGGTGTGAGTCATCCTGATGGCTCTAGGGGTAGGGGGAGGGGAAGTTTCACATTTAATTGTTGCTTTATCTTCCCGACCGTCTTCTTCCACCACAGCAATCTAGAAGTAAAAAGAAACATATTGAGATGAGCTATTTCTGAATGTCAACTGAAATTAATAAAAATGGGCAATCGTCAAAGCAAGGCTATCTGAGTACAGCTAATACAAAAACAGAACAAAAAACCTTGGGGCATATAGGTTTTACATATATAAACTCACATTATTAAAGAGTGTTAATTTAATAACTCTTTAAAAGTGAAGACTCTCCAGTTAAGGTAAACATAGACCCACTACAAAAAAATATTTAAGAGTTAATAAGCACCATAGATCAATATGCAGGGACTATGAAAAAACTAGTTTGAAATCATTTTTAATAGATTAGGATATAAATAATTTTTTTAAATTGGAACAAATTTTCTTAAAAAGTGCTTAGTCAGGTTATCATAACATGGACATCTTTTCAGTGGGGGATTTTTGAAGTGAGAACACGAGTTGTCAAAATATAACTTTATCAGTTTCAGTGTTTTAAATCAGCCAAGCTAAAGAAATATATTCCAGGGTGTTTACAAAATGAGCTGCAATTTATATATTTTTAAAAACTTTATTTTTAAAATGAGAATAATGAAAGGTAAAAATATAATTCTTCAGATTGTTTCATCTCCCTGCTTGTCATGAGAAAATGGACAAAAGCATACAGAAAACCCTAAGAAGATAAGACGGAAGGGACTTCTTTAAAGAACAATTTATTTCAGAACCCAGAACAATTCTGGATAGCATAAATTTTGTCAGAGATAGAGATACAGAGCTGTGTTAAAATAGGACTTTTCAACAATGAAGCTAATTATAAACATATATTTTTACAACAATGCTATAATTTTTTCATAGCATCATTGTGCATTAAAAATATCTATAGTGAGGGAAAATGTGTGACAGCGGAGCTTAAAGAAACAGTTGCAGAAGTTCTGATGCAAAAAGTTCTAAGTATAGCTCTAGCAAACATTTTAAAGCTGCACTCTCTTTTTATGTCCACACAATGTCTTGCTTGTTTCTATATTGAGCTATTATGCTAAAATGCGTTTATATATGATAAAGACCTTATTCACTGGAGAAACTTAATGAAATTGTTTGTCTGTGCTCTTGTCATCCAAGCCTCGATTACTCTTAACAGTTTAGGGAGGCATCTTAATAGAATTTTCTCTCTCCATTTCAACTAGCATAGTGCCACCAAAACAATATTTTCCAAGGACTGTTTTCAGCATGCCATTAATGCTATGGAAAACCCTTTCTAAACTCACTTCCCATCAAAACTCAGGAGGTGTGTTTTCATACTCTTCTTAATATGTATTTATGTTTTCACAGTTCATGATCTAACCATGATTGTTTTCCACTTTGTTTCTGTTAAGCATGATACCTGCTTCTAGGTTCTGCTTCTAGATTTTCTCCTGAAACTCCCTCTTGTAAAATGCCCTTCTCTCTCTGTTCTGCCAGTCAAACTATGCTGGCTTTTTAAATATCAGCTTTTTTTTTTTTTTAGTATATCTTTTTATTGATTTCAGAGAGAGGAAGGGAGAGGAAGAGAGAGAGAGAAACATCAATGATTAGAGAGCCATCGTTGATCGGCTTCCTCCTGGACGCCCCTGACTGGGGTGGAGCCCACAGCCCGGGCATGTGCCCTGACCAGGGATCGAACCAAGATGCCCCTGGCTGGGCTTAAATATCAGCTTTTAAGAACACCGTATACAAACATTTTTCTGAATAATTTGAGAGCTCACACTACATAAAACAAAACTGAAGAGAATGGCTTTGGAATCAGAGATGGATTTGAATCCTGGTTTCTCTTATTCTACTTAGTTACCTGCTCTAAGTTAGAATAAATGTCTTCATCAATAAAATGGAAGCCATGGTGCTTATTTTAATGTTTTCTTTTGAAGTGTAAATGAAATCATGCCCGTAACTCCTCACCTTGCTATGCAACCATCTTTAGCTTTCCATAACCCACCTTTCTTCCCAATGAATCATCTCTATTCTCTGAATTCCCTGAGGCTGACTTTCTGCACAGGATCTTCCTTTGTGATCTTTTCTTTCTTATACCTACTGAAATGCTACTCCAAGTTTGTTCTATGTTCCCAGAACTGGAGTACACCTTGCTTCCTATATTCAATATTTATGCTCTTGATTTCAGTCTGAACAGGAAAGCAGTGTATTCACTGTATTTGCATATTTTCTGTATTCTTGATGCTCTGGCGTCTGGGGCCATGCTGATCCAGAAGCTGCCCCCCCCAGGGCTGGCTCATTCCTAGAGAAAGCAAACCACTTCCCGGGAGTGTGCCTTCCGCAAGAAGATCAGCCGATCCGGGTCTAGATCCCATTCTATCTTATCTATCTGGCTCTGACACTCCAGGAAGCAAAGTTCCTCTGCCTTCATCATCCCAGGCCAAGTATTAGACAATTAGAGATAGCACCTATACCCTAGAGCCTGTTTTATTCAAAACAGCCAATCCCAGTCCTTCTTATCTTACCTTTCCCACAGAGACCATGATAAAGCCTCCTGCCCACTTTCCCCTCACTCTCTCTGTCTCCTGACCCATCCCTGTGGCCCTGCAGAGCATGGTGAGCCCAGTCCTCTTGGGAAATGTAACAGGTTATCTTTTCATTGCAGTTGTCTCCTGACCTGTTGGCCTCACTGTACCTGAATAATAATAAAACCTATTTTAAAACAAATAGCATTATTCTAGTGTAGATAGTAAATGATCTAATTCTTTGTACCAACAGTGCTCTAAATATTCTGTAGGACATTTAGCCCCATAATCTAATCATTGATCCAAAGGCATAAAAAAATTTTGTTTTTAAGGCATTTGCCCTTATCATCATATTTATTTATTTATTTATTTATTTATTTATTTATTTATTTATTTATTTATTTTATTATAATTTTTTAAAATATATATCTTTATTGATTTCAGAGAGGAAAGGAGAGGGAGAGAGAGATATAGAAACATCAATGATGAGAGAGTCACTGATTGAGCCCGCAACCCGGGCATGTGCCCCGACGGGGAATCGAACCCCGATCGCCCGGATCCTAGGTCGATGCTCAACCGCTGAGCTATGCCCGGCCGGGAGCCCTTATGATCATATTTAAAGAATTCAATAATACTTAACTACTCTTACTATGTCTTTTTATGTTAATAAAGTATTTCAACTAGAGGTAATATAATTTTAAAGCTTTCACAGGAAAAACAATATTCAACTAGTAATTGTATAAGAGTTATTTACAGTACCTTTCTCCGGTGTTTCCTTAGATCACTCGGCTGTGATTGGCAGGGGTAAAAGCAACATAAAACAGAACTAGTTAATGATTTTCATTTACTCATGTTACAAATTTAAATAGTATTTGTACCTTTGCTTTGTTTTTTTATTCCATTTTTTCTAAATAAATGTGCTTATATTTATTTGTTAATCATTATAAAAGCACCTGTCTTGGACTTAGTTTCGAGAGGGAACTTCCTGCAAGGCTTGGGTGGGGTGTCACCTGAGTACCTGCATGAGATACGAGACATGGGCCTGGGAATATAAAGAACACATGGAGTGAGCTAGTCAGAAATAAATATGGAACTATGTTCTCCCAGTGAAATGTAGCTGGGAATGAAAAGATTATGCATAAATAATGATTCAATGCATGCATATGGAGTTTACAGACAGTGTCTTTCCCCCCTCTGTGCAGAGCCTTGGGCCTCCTGGGGGCAGGTCGGCTGGTCCTGAGGGACCTCAGTCTCCCTGAATTCTAACAAATCCCCTATTCCCAAGTGCCAAAGGCTCTGCCCTCAGCATCGCGTTTCTCGGGCTGCTGTTTTCCTGTCGATGCTCTTTTACAGAATTTTTTACAAAGCAAGTTCTTTATGATTCCATGAACCTTATTCACTTATCTTTATTTTTCTTATGAAGAGAAAATCATTATTGTTAAACTATTCCATTATACTTTATATTTCAGCTGTTATCAGAAAAAGGGTTGATTTACCCCATCCAGTATTCTAACTAGAAATTGCGAGCGTGTCATTTATGCTCATGTACTGGTGGTCCGGTAAAGGTCAACACACCAAGTAAAAGTAAATACAACAAAAAATAAAAATGTTTGCAAGATATATAAACATATACAATGCAAACAATTACAGTGTCTTTTCAACCTGTATTTTCTGTCCCTAAAATTTCTAATGTTCCTTTGAATATTCCAACATAAATATACCCAACAAAATTATTTTTCCTCCAATATTTTCTACATGTAAAAGAAAATATGTTTCACTATAACAGTAGTGAATTTGACGACAAAGTTTGATTATGTGATACTTTCTGAATTTCATTTCTTGTTTTTCTGAGTCACATATTGAACATTTTAAACACTTTGTACCCTCAGAAAAAGTTCTAAATAGTTAAGTACTCTAATTATAATGAGATAATCTTCACTTACCACTGATTTATTTATGACTAACTACTCAAGAAAATGCATAAATGTCCTAAAACAAAACTGGGAAATTGCTGCCATTGCTTTCGATGGCTCTTCTTACTAAAACTATTTTATAGTTTTGTATGCAAAAAATCATAACATTTTATGTTGGTGTATCGAAGCAATTATAATAAATAACTTTTATTATTTATTGTGTTCAAAGGCACCCCCACTTTACTTCATCAAGCTGTCATTAATAAAAATGTGCTTAATGCTTTAAGCCATTCAGGTTTCTAATGTGCTGTTGGGATGACTACTCCTCCATTTACTTACTGTATGCCCTTGGGAAAGTTACACCTGTGTATCTTCATCGCATAGTGGGATTAATAACTGTACCTATCGCATGGGGTTGTTGTGAAAAAAGGAAAGAAGAAACAATAAAACACTCAGAAAGCCCTCTGAGTATCAACTAATGGATCACTCATCCTAGTGGCGGCTGAAGTTCCCTGGACGCATCGTACCAGGGTCATGACCCCCATCCGGTCCATCTCCCGGGCAGGACTTCGCGGGGTGAGCTTGGGCGTTGAGTGTCCGCTGGGGGGCGACGAGCTGGCCAGCGAGGAGGCTGTCACCGAGGCAGTGATGGAGGTCCCCGGGTGCACTCGCGCTAGATTCAGGCCTTCCAGGCTCACACTAGCTACTCTGTTCTCAATTTCTTCAGCGCGTAACTCTGTAGATTCTTTTTCTTCCTGAATTAGCCTGCAAGATACAGTTAAATTTTGACCCATGATACGCTCTGAATAATGGTAATAAGTCAATAAAACTCTGTAAACATTTTATATCAAATCTACTATTTTCATCTTTTTTCTCTCTTTAGAAAATATAGCTTTTAATAAATTCAAGGGACTTCCTGGCTGAAATTTAGAAAGTCATTTTTCCAAGTGATACATAATTCCTCTCCACTTTCAGTTGGACCCTCTTTCTATACTGTAACCTGCAAAAGCTCCTTGCCTGTCTAATTAATTTATGTCATTAATCCTAAGCTTATACTTGAACTCATGTGCTGATAAATGAGAGTTTTAGAAACTCAGGTTCCAACAAAGTTATTGAATCTTATCTCCAATTATATCAAAGTATAATTGATAAAATCCTCAATAAATGGTCATTCATAATTATCATTTGGACCAATAAATCTGAGTCTTTTTTTTTTAAGCATTAACACCTATTTAGACAAGTCACCCTCAAATAAGCACCATGCAATTTAATAAGGTGGAGGTGATGGATAGATATTTTAAAAATTAAATTGTTGCTATAAATGCTTTTGAGATGACAAAGCATTGCTCTTTTCTTTAAATAAAAATAAGCTTCAAGAATGTGTATATATTAGAAATACAAAGACCCAAAGAATAAAGAGCTCTAGCTGGGTTGCAAAGAGCTCTAATTTAAGATGAATCTATGCACATTTTACATATTGTTATAATGAAACTGCGTACCAGCATAGTTTGTTTGAAAAGAGGGGAATAGAAACCTCCTGAGAAATTTCCTTTTAACTACAAATGGCTAATTGGGATCTCCTATGACATATACCCTTCAACTTCAAGGTTATGATCATTGCAAAGTTTTCTTTTTCCATATTTACTTTGGAAAACAGTTTGGCAATTCCTTACAAAACTACACACACCCTTACCATATGATCCAGTAATCATGTTCCTTAGTATTTCCTCAAAGGAGCTGAAAACTTATGTCTATATAAAAACCAGTATATGGATGTTTATAGCAGTTTTATTTAAAATTGCCAGAACCCTGAAGCAATCAAGATGTCCCTCTGTAGGTAAATAGATAAATAAACTGGAATATTATTCAGCACTAAAAAGAAATGAGCTATCAAGGCACAAAAAGACATGGAAGAACATTAAATGCATATGACTAAATGAAAGAAGCCAATCTGAAAAGTCTACATATTATGTGATTACAACTATATGACACTCTGGAAAAGGCAAAATTATGGAGACAGTAAAAAGTCAGTGGTTGCCAGGGGTTGGATGGGAAGAAGGATGATTAGGTAAAGTACAGTGGATTTTAAGGCAGTGAAGATACTCTGATACCATATTGATAGATGCCATTATATATTCTTCCAAATGCACAGAATGCACATCAGCAAGAGTAAACCGTAATGTAAACTATGGGCTTTGGGGGAATGTGTCAATCTACGCTCATCAGTTGTAACAGACATACTACTGTGGTGGAAGATGTTGATTATGGGGAAGGGTAGGCATGGATGGGGTCATGGGGTATATGGGGAAATCTCTGTACTTCCCTTCAATTAAATTTGCTGTGAAACCTAAACTGCTCTAAAAAAATAAAGTAAATAAAAATATTAAGAAGTACATTTAATCTTGATTATACTTTTTTACTTACACAAAGAATTTAAATTCTGTTACTTTGAAGTTAATTTTCCTGGGTGCATTTTAACTTGAGCCAAAGATCAGATTCCTGAAGAAAGCCTTTATCAAGTATCAGAGTATAACATCATTAATGCTTTAAACACTTGCTAATAGAAAAACTTCCTCCTCTTAAAAAACAGAATACATTTTTCGTACATTTAAAATGATTGGTGGAAAATGACCCCAGAAATATCCGGTGATGTGGTTCTGCCATACAAAGAATTTGTAGTTATTAACTCTAGTATTCTATTCATTGTAAAGGAGAGTCAAACCTAGAGGAACAAGTTGAGTAAGAGGTAAATCAAAGTTTAAGCAAACAGGAAATCCAATGATACCTAGACATTCAATTTATTTGGAAAAAAATAGATGGCAATCCATTGAACTTTAGAACCCTGATGTAAATGTGGGGAGCAAAGAAAATAACAACAAAATAGATTCCCTTTATTCTGTCCTAGTGTGTTGGGGAGGGATTCTCATAGGAATCAAAGAGAAGGCTGAAAGAATTAATAAAACTACAAGAGTAAATTGGGCCAATCATAGCTAACTATAGATGAACAGATTAATGAATGCCGCAGTGACAAATGAGTTTAAAGCAATCTTATCTCTCCCTTTAAGAGAAGTGGAATTTCTTTCAAAACTATACTGTGAAATAATTAAATTAATTTGTGAAAGAAGAAAAATCTTAACAAGAGATACATTCCCATTAATGTTAGCATATTACCACAGTTTATATCAAGGTGCTTACTTCTTTTAAATGTTGCTCTGTACTCGAATTTTATACATTTCTTAATGTATTATAATCAGCAACTATTTTAATCTACATTAAGAAGGGCAGTAATGTAACATATTGAAAGACAATAGTATGAATTTATTATTTGGATATCAATTTAATTAGTTTAGGTCAAGATTGTAACTGGAAATTATTATCCTAATGCAAAAACCCTAAAATTCCCTGGAGGGACATAGCATGTTATTGAGGGTGTGTGTATATTTTTTGGTGAAAACAAGTATCATTAGCCGCACAGCATTAGAAAGTGTTATTCACTTGAAATTCATGCTTTATATAGATTTTTTCTATTTATAGTAATCAAATATTTATGAAACACTTTTTATTTATCAAAATGCTAAGTTCTGGAAATAAAGCAATTAGCAAACCCAGATATACTTATAAGTTATATATAACTCATAACCCAGTAAAGACAAAGAGCCAAAGGACAGAAAAGTGAACTGAAGGACAGAAGAATTGAGCTGTTCATGGAGTGTAAGTATAAAGTGGGTGATGAGTTAGGGCAGAACAGTGTGGATTGAGGAGAATATTCCAGAAGAAAGGAATAGCCTCAGCAAAACAGGGACCATATGGAACATTCAAGGAGCTGGAAGTCCTGTACAACAGAACATGGAGAAGGTAAGAGAATGGTGAAGTAGGTGGGGCATTGCAGACCATCAGAGAATTCTAAAGGGAAACCGAAGGGCTTTTTGACAAAGGATAGTACATAAGTACACTTGTTTTTTGAAAAGTGTGCTCTGGCTGTGGTGTCAGCTTGGACTAGCTTGGGAATCCAAAGACTACAAAGAAACCAGATAGAACTATTACTGTCATCCATATGAGAACCTACTACAATGTGCAATATGGTGATGATAGTGGAGAGCTAGGTAGATTTGAATCAAAGTAAGAGGTCAACAGATTAAAGCTAGAGTCAGAAAGGATGAATAAAGGCATGGTTCAAAATAGTAAAACTGATCATCACTTGAAAAAACAAGTAAAGAATAATTTCCTGATGTTTAAAAGAAAACAAATCCACCTGACACCATAGGGTTCTTCATTGGGGACAGTCAAATTAATGATAGAAAAAAACATAAGTTAAAATTTAAATTATCATAGTGACAACATTTCTCAATATTTGAAGTGTTAAGTTGTACAATTTCTATTCCATAATGTTATCTTTGGAAACCACCTATTATCTAGATATTATGTGATGATAGTACCTTTTGAAAAACCTAGTTTGAAATAATTCAGTCATAGTTAATTTCACTTCAATGTCTAAATACTTTTAAGGAGCCAGCTGCAAATTAATTTGCATGCTATTTAGTGCCTTTACTGTAGTGTTAAACGTACATTAAGAATGTATCTTGTCACCACAAATACCATTTAAATAGTAAAATTTAATTTAAAAAGTTCTTTAAAATTCATTGGAGAAGTTTTTATCTTCACTTCATTCTTTCATATTGTATCATGTCTGTATGTTTCATGTGTGTTCCTTACAAAAGCACTCTAATTTTGTATATGACATATATAGATACCCAGGGAATTTTGTGAAAATGCACATTCTGAATCAGTAGGTGTGGGGTGAAGTATGAAATTCTGCAGTTCCAGTACCCTCCCAGGTTATGCCAATGCTTCTGATCTGATGATCACGTTTTTAGTATCAAGATCTTCTAATTTCTTGACACCATCAGTAATAATTGAACTCACCTGATTTCTTTGTTGATGGCATCTAATTGTTCCTGAAGCATCATAGCTAGAGTCTGGGCATCAGAATGACCACTTGGAGAGAGAAGATCCATTGAGCTAAAAATTGTTTCTCTATCATCATCATCAATATCAGATATTTCTGTGTCACTTTCAAAAGGGTGGCTGCTTAGCACTCCCATTTGTTGAGTTCTATTCCACTCATGGTCCCCAAGAGATTTTACCTGAGTGATGAATAAACAGTTATAATATTTATCGCATTGTACATTTTCAAAGTAATATTCTGAAAAACAAAAAAGCACACATGCTTTCACAGATTACTTGGCAAAAGCAGAACTGATTATTAACATTTTAATGTATTGGTTAAATAAAATATTTATTGGCATTTTATGTTATGGGAGGTAGTGTCTGCATACATATCAACATTTTAATCAAAATAAAAATAATAAATGAAGACATCTCCATGATTTCTAGCTCAACTCCAAATCAAAGTAACAATTACTTTAAAACATTTCTGTTTACAACACTACTCTAATCTATACTTTTGTATTATAGACTGGGACAACAGATATTATCATACAACAAATTATACAAGAATTTTCTCCCTAATAATCATTTACATAAATTTTAACTAAATATTATTTAAAAATATTGCAAAGTAATTTAATTTAATTTCTACAGCTCTGGTCACTTAAATGCCTGACTGATTTTTTTTAAGCCCAAAGCATGCCATTATACATGGCTATGTTTTAACTGATACAGTAAAACCTCATGTGAACAAAAGTGTTGAGTGACTAACAGACCAGTGTTTTTCAAGCTGCAATCTCAAAGTATGACAGGTTTGGGAGAAAAAAGGAGGTCCTAGAGCTTTCTGCTGTTTTAAAAAATCATTTTTTCATTTTTGTGATGGTGTAAAATAATTTGGGGTGGGGGGACCACAAGAGATTGCCTTGAGTATTTAAGATTCAAAAACCTTGATTAGCTTTTATGTTACAAATTGTTTTGTTACCAAGTAGTACTAATTTATTTTTCATTTAAAAATGAGGAAAGAACTAGGTGGAACTTAATTTAGTCTTTGCCTGTTCATTTATCTATCCATTCAACTGAGACTGAATGCCTGCTGAGGGACTCATTTGTACATGATACGTAGGTGCCAATTAAAAATGAAAGGGTTGAAAAGAAAAGAAAGAAAAGAAAAAAGAAAAGAAAAGAAAAGGTTTGTACGAGTAAAGACAAGTAGGTTGTGTAGTATTTTGGACATATGCAGTGGTTGGGGAGAATAAACTCTAGTTAGGGCACAAAGGAACTGTATTCTCCGTATAATGCAACCGTGTACTTGGTGAACATGCATAGTTACAAACGCTGAGCTACTGAGTGACTGAAAGGCTGGCACTGCCATTGATTGTGGACACTTTCTCTACAAACACCTTCAACAGTCTCTGTATATTTTCCTCAAAGTGTTTTTAAAGTAGTAATTATAATTAAAATATTTAATTTATTTTAATCAACAGTATAAATGCCATTGCTTGGGTGCCCAAGCAAACAAGAAAATACAAAATAGTGCAATGGATAAAAGCTTGGAATTTGAAATGACACAAACATAGGCTCACATTTTGATTGTATTACTCTGCTGGCTGTGTTTGAACACTTAAATTTTCTGAGCTTCCATATTTTCATATCTGAAATTAGCATAAAAATAGACTCAATTCATAAGGTTATGTGGATAAATACATGGAAAATGTTTAGTTGAACTTCTGGCATATAGTAGTTAGTGGTTTTGTGTTAGTTATAGTTTTTAAAATATGTCATATGTCACACTTGAAACTAATAAAAATGCTAGCATTTTGAACCTACTCAGTATTAAAATTCTATCCAAAATGGAAGTTTATTTACTTAAAACCATCAGAGACTTGAAATAAAAAGTGTAACCTTTGGCTCATCTCGTCGCACACCCATGCGGCCTCTCCTTGGTCTTCTTATTACTTTAGTTGTTCTGTAGTCAGACTGGCTGTCCACGAGGGACCCAACCGAATAGCGCAATTCAGCCGAGGTGTCAAGATGAGTCCTGGAAAAAGGAAAAATATGCAATATAGCCAATCTCCAAAATTAAAATTACCAGCAAATCACTATCTACTTCTTAATTGGCAGCAAAGCATTAACGCTCAAGGAAATAAACCTCAAGAAAGAAAACTGATGAATTGTCATGACCCTCTGAGGTCTTTTCAGAGGCTTAGGTCAGAAATTCCAGCCTCAGGTTTTTTCATGAAGGTCTAGTACATTTTCTCATGAAGGTCTAGTACATTTTCTCATGAAGGTCTAGTACATTTTTAGAATATAAAAAGGCTTTCTGTTCATTACTTATTATTTTCAAATGCGCTAGTACAACAAAGCATGTTAAGATTGACAACCAAAATCCAAAGGCTTAAATTCTGGCAATTCTATTTAGTTTGGACTCTTTAGTGGATATCCCAATATATGCTATTTGTTACTGTATTTGTATTAAACATTGCTCATTAATCTAACAGAAAAAAAATGTGTAAATTTTTTGGGTCCCAGAATTTTCAACATTCTATTTTTCAACTTAGAAAAATAAATGAAATACTTAAAATCAGATTGACCCAAGGTTAATAAAGTTATTTTTTTAATAAAATAAGATAACCAAAGTAATTTTTTAGCTTTTAATAAGACATTGATAAAAAGATATTTTGATAAGCACATTTGATATTGAAATCTACTTAGAGGTGAAACAGTTGGAATATTCCAACTGGAAAATATTGTCACACTGCCCTTCAATGAGCATGAGAATAAAGTACACTGTAATTAAAGTGTGGTAAAAGTTTCTCCAGGTACATTATGTATATAGAGATTTACAGCAAATTCTGTTTATTACTACAATAATAGTGATAACAGTGGCAATGCTGTCCTACAAAATGATTTATTATCAATAGCAAATGTACTTAAAGCTCTGTTTACTCTTGAACTTGGGACTCCTGCTGCTCTATGTTTTCACCCTTAGTTCTCTTTGTGAATGAAGCATTTCCAAATATTTGGCAAGACTAAATAAAAGAGGTTAGATGAAGTCTGAGTGTTTACAACAGAAGATACTGATTTAACTGATGCAAGTCCTTGTTTTGCCAAACAGAACGTTAAAGCAAATGAACTAAGGAACCATCCTCAAGATAGAGGACAGCAATCGTTTTTTCCAGCAGGGAACTTGAACTTAATCAAGCAAACTTTTTTATTGTGGAGTAGTCATATATAAAAACTAACCAACAAGGCCATGGCCATAAGTGGTACAAATCTTAGTGTTTATCTATTTGGCAGAGAGCATAAGTTTCATGAAGACAAATATACTTTCATCACCATTACATGTTCAAGGTGTTATTAAGTACTTAACAAATATCTGGTAAGATAATTAATGAAATTGATTAAAATGCATTCCAAACTAGCTCAGAACTTTCTAGGTTCCTTTTGTCTGTGGCTACTTAAGATAATATCTCTTTGGGCATCAAAGTGGATTTTCTAAAATTATAACTTATCATCCTATGAGTATTTTTTTGTTTGTTTTATCTCTCAACTTTAGGTCATTTATAAAAACATGAAACAAAACACAGCTCTGGTCCCATTGACAACCTGAAGATCTTCAGTGTCCTTAAAAGGCTCTCTACAATTAAGGCCCTTCATACTTTCCAGCTTCACTTGCAGTTACTCTCTGTATTTCCCCATCTAGCTGTACTGACTTTCAATTCCTTCCATAAGTCACACTTTCACTTCTGAGCCTTTGAAAACAGTCTCTTCACACATTTACATGGTTAGTATTCTTAAAGTTCAAAGTCCCATTGTCATATTCTAGCTTCTCATATTCCTTCCAGTAAAATGGTCCTCAAACTATTCCTCCTCTATTTTCCATCTGGAACATGTCCTCTTCATCACCATCACCACTGAATCTCTAAGGCCACAATGTCTAGCAAGTAGAAAGTGCTTAATTGATCTTGAAATAACAAAAGACCTGAGTCAACAGCAACTGTAGAAGAGCCAATTGCTTATACTTCATCTAAAAAAGTTACTGCTCACCTCTTTCCTTTTATTCAACTCTGTGAACCAGTTCTCTGATGAGAGAAATCAAAGGTAACACTTCTATACATTTAAAATTTAGTCATTTTACTATACATTATTTTGGGAGGTACTAGGAGGTCTAAGTTACAAGCTCATCTACAGTCACCAATTCATTTAGACAAAGAACCATCCTGAAGTTCACCCTCCTGAATCTCCTGTGAATCTTGCACATAATCTTATGAAAGAACTTCCATAGATAAACCAAATGTGAATTTTCTTAGAGCAAACCTGTAATCCATCCCTCTGCTTCTGTAAGGTTCTCCATCATCCTTTCTAATTATCTACATCCTACCTTTTTTCAGAGCTCAGCCAAATCTGGCCATCTCCAGTCACTCTGAAACTTATTTCACTTTCTTCTCAGATGAGATACTACTAGAGATATTAGTTACTGATAATTGCTAATTTTAGGTCATCTCTTCCTATGTCCTCAACTGGAAGATCAAACACAAGTTGATGATGTTCTAGTGCACCATCTGTTTTTTCAATTGTTTCTTTCCTAATTATGTGCACTCAAAAGCATGGATGTTCAACAAATAAAGGTTATTTAATAAATATTCAGTTATCCTGTAACCTACTATAAGTTTCATCAATTTAGCTTAATAATTTCTATAAAACTTTATACTTTTGGTGTGATTTACTGTTTACAAAACCCCTTTGCTTACTTCTCATTTTATCTGCAAATGTAAGTTTGTGAGATAGTCATAAAAATAGTACCTTATATATAATTCATGTTACGTGTCTCATTTTACCTGCAAAATAAGCTTGTGAGATAGTCAGAAAAATAGTATTTTATATGTAATTTATGTAAAACATACGCATAATTAGAATCTTATTAAGAAAATAGGTCTTCCAAAATCAAACAGCCAGTAATTATATGTCTGAGACCTAAGAATGTCAGTCTTATTATGGTTGGTGTAGTGTTGTTTCTACTACAGTCTGCTGCATCAGAGAAAAATTGTTCTGTGTGTAGTTCTGTTATTGTGGATACATGTCACATTGTTAGGTGGCCCATGATGACTCACTGTGGCAATGAATTTTTAGACACCACTTCTAGAAATCTGCATTTCTGAGGCTGAAGTTCAAAAAGACAATAAAATGGCCGTTTGGTCCTATTAAAATATCTTTCATTTGTTAATTTAATAATGTTCACTGTATGTATTTACTCCTTTGATATTTTATCAGTTGTTTTTCTCCTCCATCATCATCACCATTATGATCATCACCTTATGAATACATGGAACTGAATTAACAGTTTCAGTTCAGATATAAGTCAGAATAAAATTAAAAAATAAATAAACATGATTTTCTAAATTAAAGACCTATTATTACTTTTTTAAAAATTTTGGATGTATTTATACCTGCAGAAATGTGTTTCTTATACTCAACTGAAGAGAGAAATACTCAACATACTGAATATTTTATCAGTATTTATACTGAAAAACATAAACTCCTTTAGATTTTTTTAAATTTGGATTTTTCATCTGAACATCTGAAAAATGCTTTACCAGATATTCATTCATTCAACAATATCTATTGAGAGCACACTACATGGCAGACACTTTTTTAAGGTGCTGAAATTATAGTAATTAAAGAGACAGAAATTCCAGCCCTTGTGGAGCTAATATTCTTAACATAAGCATAAGGCCATGAAAAAAGAACTTCTAGAAATCTTTGGTGGTCAAAAGTTTCAAATAGCTGATATCATTGTATTGCTTAATTAAAAAATGATCAAAATGAGTGAATCCTTCTAGGATTTCTTATACAATTTGAATAAAAGCCTCTAAGTAAAAAAGAAAATTATATGTAAATTACTGAAGTCTATCTAGAGAGAGAAACAATTGTCTCTGTTTCTTTTCAGCTGAGGTGCTGAGTTAAAGTAGATGAGTATGGCTAAATTTATTTGAATTTTTAAACAAGTATGCTTTCTCTTTTCCTCTTTATTTGCAATTACTTTACCAAAATAGTTATATGCTGTGTGAATATGAGTGACCATCATGAATGAGATTTCTTCAGTAACGTTAAGCATTGAAAACATTTCTGCATGTAGAGAAAATGGCTGATACTTCTTCCTGGAACAAGATGTAATCTCTTACATCCATATAGTTCCATGTCTTCATTTAAGACTCTTTTAATGTATTTTATCTATATAATTAAATGCTGAATATGAAAAGTAGTGATTTCAATTTTTATTGCATGTCTATAGAAAGGATTTCTAAAAGACAATCATTTTTTAGTGTAGAAACTAAATTGGTGAGGAGTCAAAATAGAGCAATGATGGCTGAGCAATAGGAGGTACTTGTTTATTTTATTTTAGGAGATATTAACCATAAGGAAATTCATATTGGTTTTTAGTCAACTGCACATAAGCTTTTAATTTAATGTTACCTTGATATTGTGGGTTCAATTAAAGAGCCAGTTCTCATTTTCAATTGGTCAAGTTCAGATCTCAGCTTTTCAATTTCTTCCGCTAATCTTTCCTAAAAATCAAAGAAGTGTTACTCAAATGATATGCAAATACCAATAATACCAACACTCAGTTATGATATACAAAACCACCAAGTTTAGTGGCTTTTTAAAAATGAAAAGCTGATGGATATAATTTTATTAAAGATTATTAGTCATGAGAGTAAAGCATGCCTGATTTTTCCCCTTGTCATGAAAATATGAACAGCAGAAATCAATAAAAACCTATCTACATTCCCTAGAATTCATTAATCCTAAATTTTTGCAAAAATACAGGAACACTAAGGTCATGACCAGCTATGTATACATCACTTAAAAATGCAAAGTAGAAATCATAGCCAGTTTAAAAAATAAAGAAAAGGTTTTATTTATGCAATAAGTGAATTTCTATTATTCTATAAGTGTTGAAGGGTACATGGGTGAAGGAAAAAGAAGATTGAATTAAAAGGATGAGGGGAAAAAAATCATTATTTGAGTTAAAATTATTAGTGTTATAATGGTACAATTATTTGTGCAACTGATAATTTTCTCAGATTGGCATTATCAGGTTCAGTCTATAAATTTGTGAAGATAAGGGGTTGCCTTATTGCCCTTAAATGCTGATGGAAGCACTTTAATTTTCTTCTCATAATTATAATTTTTATAATATTATAAATGTTTAAAAGTGTTCTTCTGGATTTTCTATTGCTGTTTTTCCCTCTCCAAGTGGCCTATGCTTGACATTTTACTTGATTCATACGTCCTTTCTGACCACACTTTTTTTTTTTTTGGTCAATGTGACCTTTGTAATGTTTCTCTTATCTGCCCTTTTATTCTTACTACCACCATCTTACTCTATACCCTTTTTACCTCTTTCCTGAATTATTTTACCAGCTTCCACAGAGGTGATGCTCCCTTCAATCCTTTCCCCACATATTCTTCTGTCAGATGCATCATTTAAAAAAATATGTATGATCAGATAAAAATATTCTGATCATATCTTTCCTTAAGTATCTTTCCTTAAAAATATTCAAATATCTTTTCTTAAAAATATTCAACAGTTTTTAATGTATTTTTTAATTTATTTGTTATTTCCACAAATGTACACTAAGCACCCTTTGTGTGCTAGGTACCTGAGGTATAGTAATAAACTAACAAACTTCCTGCTTTCATGTAATTTATAATGTGATAGAAAACACAATAAACAGATACAGTCTTAAGGATGTGGGTAGGAAAGAAAAGTAGGAAAATCATGGAAAGTCTCTTCAATAAAGTGATGTTTGAGTAAAGACCTGAAGAGAGGGAGAGAGTTACAAAAACTGGATTATTAAAGGGAAAGGCATGGCAGAGAGAAGGAACAGCATGTGAGTATATTTGGTGGCTAGAGGGCAATGAGGCCAGTGAGGCTGGATTGGGGATGGCTTTAGAAAAGGCAGATAAAGGATGGATTTAGAAAAGTATGATTGCAAGTTTTGAGGAGAGTAATCCTGAAAGGCCTTGTAAACCATTTTAAAGTCTTTGGTTTTACTCTGAGAGAGATAGGAAATTACTAGAGGATTTTTAAATTGAGAGGCTGCATGATTGCGCTGACAGCTATAAAATAAAGTATCTAATGGAACTGGGGGAAGGGAAGAAATAAAATTATTAGTGTTCTTCCAAAAACATAGGCAAGAGAATTATGGCTTGGACAAGAGTGGTGTTAGGGAGAGAATGGCAGGAACATGGTTCTATTTGGAAGGTAAAACTAACAGAATTTGCTATTGGACTAAATGTGGAGTATGAGATAAAAAGGGGGTTAAGAGTAACTCCAAGGCTTTTAACCTGAGTAACTAAGAGAAAGAAGTTGTGATTGACTGAGAAGACTGCTGGTGGTGGTAGTCAGATTAGGTGGTGATGGCACTTGGGAGGGATTGACCTGTTAAGTTGGAGATACCTATGAGTCCAAATAGAGATATTAAGTAGCTTCTTGAATACATGAACTCCTTCAGGATAGAGAACCCAGTAGGAGATCTAAATTTGGAAGTGCTCAATTTATAAATAGTATTTAAACCCATGAGATCAGATGAGTTCATCAGGGACTAAACATAGAGAAGAAATCCAAGGGCAGTCCTAAGAACTTCAAATTTTAGAGGTCAATATGGTGAAGAGAAACATTGAGAGAAGTGGATGAGTATACATACAGGGCATTATAATGCATTATAGATAATCGAGTGGAAACTTGAGGAGTTATAGGAAATATGGATAGGTTAGGAAATATGTTTAGCTGCAGGAGATGATATTCAGAAATGAAATATGACCTGGGGTTTGCTTCCTCTGGCAATTGACAGGAACAAGGCCGTGAAGCATGGAATGATTGGTGCTGCTGGTTACCTAGGTAGATTGTTGATGCTACACGGCTTGGGTAGGTAGGTGGTGGGGGAGTGGGCTCTGGGGATCTTTCCAGAAGCACACAGAGTTTTGGATAACATAACATTGCATAACAGGATCAAGTCCAAATTTTACAATCTGGTCAAAATCTAGTTCTTTTTACACACATACCAGTCCCAGCAAACTTCTGATGATACAGCAAATCAACCACCTTTGTTTTCTCTGTGCTCTAGAATAGGCTCTGTCCCCTGTCCTGCTCTTTATATAAGAACATATCTGCCTTCAAGAGCCTGAAGAAATGACCTCTCCCCCCATGTAGACATTCTGAACTACTTCAACGAGAATCCGATGTTATCTTCTAGGCACCATAATATTGCTCTAGTAGATCCATCTTTTGGGAGATTGTGTACACATCAAAAGTGAGACAAAATTGTTATTTTTGAAATTAGCATCATAATAGATAGCATTCAATAGGACTGAATGTATTGTTGTTCACACTTTTAAATTTTTATTTTTTATTTTTTATAAGCTCTGTCATCACTTTAACTGGTTGTTGTTAAAACAGATATTTTAAAAGTAATACTTTGGCATGACTGTATTTGTTTATTTAGTTTCTTTTTATTTACTTATTTTTAACTGTTCACTCTTGCCTTTATTCTTTTATCTTTTCAAATACTTTCCATATGCCACACTTTTGTCCTCCCTTCCTTGTTTTTTCCCTTCCTCTCTCCCTTCCTCTAGCTCCTTCTCTCTTTCTATCCCTTCCATCTTTTGTTCAATACACATTATAGATCACTTCATAAGTTAGTAATTTTATACCATTTCATTTGCCTATGCCAAACAAAATGAAATTAATACAAAATTGCTAACACGCATTTTTCAGGCCAATGAAGGAGTACAAAGATACATTGGCAATCAAACTCTTAACATTTCATAACCTGGTCCTGATGTGCCTCTTCTACCCCATTTCTTACAATAGGAGAAACTGATTCCAGCCGAACCATATGCCCATTATTATTTAAAATACCAAACCCTCTTCTCACACCCTCCCCCACCAAGCACCTGCAATCATGCTACATGCGCTGTATTTGAAAGGCTTGCAACACAGTACTACCTTTTCTTAAAGTTTTAGTCAAGCCTCACCTCCATGAAGACTTCTTTACAGCAAGAATGTATGGTGACCTCTCCTTCCTGTATTTCTTATTGTCTATTACACTCATTTGACACTTGGCGTCTGCTAATCTGCAATTCATTGCTTTGGCAAAGCTGTGTTCTGTCTCCTCAGTTAGATTTTTCAGCTACTTTTGAACCAAGATCATGTTTGAAACTATATAACAACACAATTCTTATGCATAATAGGTATTTAATACATTTCTGTTAAAACGGTATCTTAAACTAGACACAAATTAGTGCATACATTTTTATTCCACTTATCTAAAGCACAAACAAGTGAAAACCAATTTTTTTTTTTTTTCCCTGTAAGAAGTCAAGGTAGTAACTACCCTTTGGTATAAGAGTAGTGATCATGTGTTATCAAGAATGGAGTTTCCAGAGTGTTGATATTTAGTGTGTTTAGTTTGTAAAGGTTCATCAGGCTCTCCCCATATGTGTAAATTTTTTGTATGTATAATATAAAAGTTAAAATTGTTTCAAAAAGAAAACATCCTAAAATTATTTCTATTCAAATTTATTTTACAAAACAGTTACCAATGTGAAATAGAAAAATGGGCAAAATGTAAGTTTCCATAATACCTTATCATGTAGAGATTCTTCCAGATTCTTTCTGAAAGTTTCTGATTCTTGAATTAAAACATTCTACAGAAGAGACAAAATAGAAATAACTAATAAACTAAACAGAAAATAATTAGATATGAAGATTATTTTTATCACTCAAGAATCTTCATTAATTTCTCCCTTGATGCATCTATTTGTTGGATCCCATGGAAACCAAGCTTCAATAGAATCTTTAAACATGACACCTTAATATTTTGAGAAAAACATAATTTAAGTGAGACATGTTATTTTATGACATTTTAATTGACAAATTGACTGAATATTATCTTTATATTTCTGTTTGCCTCCTCTCAGCCTTTTTAAAATTTGAAATAATTAGGTTACTCTTCCAATAAGAAAAAGTGAGTTACAAGCTTAATATTATCCAGAGGTATTATTGATAAAGAATTCAGATGAACTGGTTATTATTATCTGAAAAAAGAAGAAATGATAAGATCATATTTTTAAAAGTTCAATTTCTGGACTTCTATTTCAAATATAGAATCAATAATATCTATGATAGTTAAATTTTTAGAGAAATAAAAATAAAATTTTAGTGAATTAAAAAACTAATATTATACACCATGACATGAAAATAAGTTGCATCACAGATATTTTTAAAAATCCTTGCCATGAAAGTATTACTGCTGTAAAAGCTTTATAACGTTCTTATGGTACTGCAAAGCACAATTTAAAACAATGCATTATTTTCAAGTTTACAGAGTAAAATTAAACTGAGTGCAGTAATTGGCATAGTGGCCATGCATTTGGAGTTGAATGGGAAGAAGTCATGCCCTACCACTTCCTAATGGGTAAATTAATCAAAATACTTTAACATTAACTGGAACATTGTTTTCTGCTTTGGTTTATTGGATGGGGCAAGGGAAAAATGTCTACCTTAAGAAGTAACTGACATTCAATCTAAATTTCCAAAATGATTTGTGCACCTAGGTTTTAGCCTCTCCTTTTGTTTATACCTTGGAATTGGAAACCAGCTCACATAACTCTTGCTGGTTTGGTAGCTGCCATCTGTCAGTGAGATGTATGTAAATATAAATGAAATTGCAGACTGCACAGGAGCACTTGTTTAAAACAATGCAGCTAAAAATATTGCATTCCTAAATTCTGTGTGGGATTGACATGATTGCTGATATAAGCTCACTCACATTTTGGCTTTTAGACCTGGGGTCTATTCAGTTACTTAAAAACATTCATGGTCTTATCACTCTTATTTGCTTCATGCCAGGCAAAGGATAAATGAAATATTTTCAGCACAAAAGTTCACCATGTTTTAATGCATTTGTCTCATATGACCATGTTAATATGAAAGAATTATATACCATGAAGAATTTTTTATTCATTTAAAAATTGATCTTACACATTTCTCCAGGAACTGTTCATTCACTTCTAAGAACATCAGGCATTTTTTAATTAAGGAAAGTCACTGACTCAGCTGACCAATATAATGATTATAGCAGGTATAAAAGAAACACGAGCGTAAGGACATTGCTAAATGCTCGTGTGATTCTCCTCGCCTGTAGTTTTACCTTTTCTTCTAGAGCAGCCATTCTTTCTTTTAGGTGCAACTGTAGGCGTTCATTGGACTCAGTCAGAAGGCGGTCCACGGTGTCGGATAACCTTTTGTTGTGTTCCTCATTCATTTTCTCTCTTTGCCTAGCCTTACAGTCAAGAAAAAATAAATAAATATGACATGAAAATCATTAAAAATATATTTGGGTTTGTTTTTATATTTCTTCTAATTTTAAAATTGGATTTAATTTTATGTTTATTTTTATTAAATTGCTAGAAACTCTTTTCTTTAAAATACACAGGGCATATCCATAACATTTAAAATATAACCAACAATCCAGAAAAACATTCATCTTCTGTACGTAGAATATAAATGTAAACTGATCATTGAGGAGGGGTTTCTTAATATACGTACTCTTTGAAGTTCTTGATTTTTCTCTTCAAGTTGACCTTCTAGATGTCTCATACGCTCTTCAATATTTCCATGCCTCTCTTCAGCCTGTTAAGAAATATGAAGAATGCACCTGACATGTAAGATTTGATGAGCACTTTTCCTCTAATTAAACAGAAATAAAATGTAAAGCAAGCTACTACCAACCGCAAATGTAGTTTTCAAAAAATAAACTTTCATTAAACAGGCAGCTGAACAGCATTGCTTGAAATGTGTCAGCTACAAAGGCCTGTTACATCCAAGCATCAGCAAAACATTGGAGTTATTTATGAGCAATGAAATCAGCCAAATGTAACATGCAGACTGTGCATGGTTTGAACACAAACCTGCCATTGTCCAATCTTAAGCTCCTGAAGCACTGAACTGCACAGATGGTCGATTATCAATAAATAAAAGTAACATAATTTTTATAAATGAAAAGAAAAACTTAGATGGATTCTATTTAGCAATAGAAAGTAAAGTCCAGTAGGACTACCTTCCTACGTATGGAGATCATTTCTTGTAGTTTAGCTTCCATAACATATTGATAATCATCAGATGAGGTAGAAGAGGTTGGATCAGACTAACAAGTCAAGGAAAAGGAGAGGCACAAAATTGAAAAATCAGAACTAAAGACACTGACACTGAACAGAACACAGCACAGAATGCTTAAAGGAAAAGTGTGACAGCAAATTTAATACTTTAACAGACATAACTTTATGTGGAGAGATCTACACCGATATCTGGTGAACATGATGCCGTTGATGGTCATAATCAAAAAACAATAATATGTTCAAACAAAAAGCTACCAACCTAAGGTATGGAAGGTTAGTGATGGCTGGCGATGACAGACTACTACAGAATGAATTAAAGCAACTCTGAAAGAGTCATGTAATAATTGGAATTATGAGAAACCAAACACTAGAATATGTCTCTGATAGATTGTTAAAAGTTTTGTATTTTGGTTTGCTTGTTTGTTTATCATATTGGTCAAAAATAATGGAAACAATGTATCTCAATGTTGAGGAATATGCTAAGGCAATGGCTCAGGTGAAATAAATTTGGAATAAAATTTATTATAAACCCAACTCTGTAGAAATCAGAGAAAAGCTAAGCCAGAGGGTTAATTATTAGTAGTATTCTCCAATTCAAGCAGGATTGAGTTTCCTCAGCAACAGCAGCAAACTTACAAAATGACTTGTGGTCTCTGAATACACATTATGGCTGTAGGTATAGATATATGTTCTTAGATACAGTCTTAATATGAAGTTTTAAATGAGCATTATTAAAAGTCCTCAGATTATCTAGGTGACACAAATGCTGCGAGGACAAGAAAAATGATTTGTGAACTCTCCCGAATGACACTAGTGACCACTCCAAAACTTTCTGGATTGATTTGTTGCTATGGAAACAAAATACTGCCCTAAGTGTGCCTGCAGCATCTTGCCTTTGTGCGCTACAGTTCCCCCAGTGCCAAGGTTAGTTACATGTCTTAGAGGTGACTGTCAGGCTACCACAGGCGCAGACTGCTAACACATGTGACATTGCTGATAGCGGAATTGTCTTAGTATGTTATACACAGGTGACAAGTAAAGTTACATCAACATTTTCATGATATTTACAAGTTAAGTAATTATAACATCAAAAACATCCTATGTCAGGACTGCACAATTCAACTCTAGAGCATATTCTATTACATTTTACAGGTGTATTCTAAAACAGTGACACTTACTAAATGCAAACAGAAGACTATTTATAAATACGTCATGTAGTACCTGAAAAGAAACAGTCTCCTATTCATGTATTAGTTCACAGGCATATGTACCATTTTATGCAACGAATTCCAATTTAACCTATCAAATAGCATTTAACATTTGACTGGTGTGCTTATGCAAGTTATAGTTCAACATTTATAGTTTTTAATTTTCTTTCTGATATTATTTCATAAATAGAAAAAAAAAATGAAGAGATAACAGTAACCAAATTTTCTCCCCAAATTTTCAAGCAGAAGCAACACAGAAAGCTACCACAGTCTCCAAATGCCATAAAATGGTTTTATATAAGCATTTAAAACTTAGAATTAAATTAAGCATACAGTAAGTGGATCAAAATGTTACTGAAATTATATAATCTAAATTCATAAATGTATCTGTAATCTCTCAAAACTATAATTTAACAAATGGTTCTATAAAAATTAACCAGGTGACTGATTCAAGGTGATTTAGAACATTTCAATTTCTAAAACTGTATCTCCAAAAATACAAGTAAAGTGCAATAAGCCTTTCAAGGTACTTTAAAACATCTTAACTACTGAAAAGACACCAAAACATTGTGAAAATTTACTTCAGAGAATAAACAAGAATTCTGTCATGTTTCAATATCTATGTTATTGCTGATCTTTTTATTGATACTAAAAATTAATAAAATACCTATGGAACTTAAGATGAAATATATCCTTGCTAAAGGAATATGCACTGTAATTAAAGAAATAATCATCTTAAATTATAAGGTTGGGAGCCCAAAATCTTTATTAGTTAACTGTGTTTATACTTGCAAAAGCCAATTTTTAAGTTTTATCCATAGCCATACTTTTAATTTTCTAAAAATCTTAAATGAGGTTTACCTACCTATCTACACACACACACACACACACACACACACACACACAGCCTTATCAACCAAAGAGTAGATTCAGACATCATTTCTAAACAAACACTGGGATTAACCTTAACCACTATTGATGTAGGTTCACCCTAGCCTTGTAAAGATTGCAGTTTAAGCAATTGGTGTAAACACAAGGGTCACAACAAGAACAATCTGCTATTTTTTATACTCCTTGATAGGAAATAGGGTTTGCCTTGTGTTCACTCTTTAATGTGATACAGGGCAATTCCAAATGAGCTAAAGTTTTAGAAAAAAATTACATAGGCAGAAATAGTATTGGAAGAGCGTGGATGTATTTGGAAATGGAAGACAAACCGAAGTTAATACATCAATGCTAGAGTAAATTCTAGCATTTTTGGCACTTTTAAAGAAGAACAAAACTTTACTGGAAAAAGAAGAAATCAAAAGGGGCCAGGTGAAATAAAATGAAATTTCAGCAATATATTATTAGGTAGGAGTAACCTGAGGAAATTATTTAGGGTATGCAGGTGAATATATGTATCAAAATAAGAGCCCCCAAAATAAAATGAAAGTCAAAAAAAGGTGAGACACCTACTTCAAGTTTTAAAAAAATATTCTAAATTAAGAATTCTCATGAATATTTAATTTAAAGCCTCATAAGTAAAGTATTGATTTGAAATTATGTTTTATTTTCAGTCTATCAGCAGTTAATTTGGGGCAACTATTTGCTGAATTTTAAATTACTTTTATTTGGAAGAGATTCCAGACTTTCTTGTATTTTACTCAGGATAATATTGCTGATTATTTTACAGTAAAATTTTACAAAACTTATTTTTATTATTTAGCCACCTAACTCCCCCTAAAATAATTTAATCCAATAAATTAACTTTTTATAAAAGCTTTTCATGTTCCTCAGATATAAGTATACATATCTGATCCATATTATAGCAATTGAAAATATCTTCACAAGAAAAAAATAGAATATTACTACTATATTTGCACATTTTGGTATAATTCAGAAAACATTTCTCAAAAAATGATAAATGTATCTTCATCTTAGAAATCACACATTTCTGGAATTGCCAGAGGGGTTTATGGCATGATCTGTGACTATAGAAGAATCCAGATTGTAACATTACGTTAATCAGGCTAATGTTTAATTCATCTAGTTTTTCCAACACTTATAGATAACCAACTATTCCCATACTTTCTAACCCTGCAATACATTTCCAAGTGTTTGCCTTTTTACCGCCTGATTAACTTCCCTATTTTAATTAATAAGCATCAGTTTACTGTTCTTTAATTATTTACTTATTCAGAAAAGCAAGTCCCTGTGCCTACTTTTATATTACCTCATGAATTGTTTCAAGCAATCCCTTACTGCCAGAATTTGCACCTTGCAGTTCACATATCTGTCTAACCCACTTACTGCTGTGGAGTGGAAAACTTAGCACATTGTAACAACTGTGTGAACATATAAAATATGTGTACAGTTTGAATTGATATTAAAAGTCAAACATGTGCCCTGGCTCAGTGGTAGAGCATTGACCTATGATCCAGGAGATGGAGCTTCGATTCCTGGTCAGGGCACCTGCCCAGGTTGCGGGCTCGATCCCTGGTGGGAGGCATGTAGGAGGCAGCTGATCAATGACTCTCTCATCATTGATGTTTCTCTCTCTTTCACTCTCCCTTCCTCTCTCTGAAATCAATAAAGACATATTTTTTAAAAAAAGCCAAACATGCTTTTAGTAAAAATCTGGACTTTTATTCTAGTGACATGCATATACACTTTGAAGCAATGCCATTTCCATTTGACTGTGAAAGGTAAAAAAAACTTTTTTAAACATTATAATACCTGCAAAATTCTAAAATATGCAGATAATTGCAGAATGTAATGGCTACAACATGGCAGATAATATTGAATATTCTTCAGACTCTTGTGGATTCAATTGAATCAGCAGAAATTGCATTTACTAAAACCACTTTCTGACTATTTAATAGCTGGAGACTTTAGACTTCTACAAATCTAACTTCTAACAAATTTTTTTCATACTATACTCAGAAAGGAATTAACTGCTTATGATATTTCCTATATTTCTAATACCAATCATGTTAAGCCTAACAAATTATGTCTCATGTATAAACATATTAAATATCATTATTATGTGTTTATATTAAGTGATTATTCTTATGTGCAAATATTACCATGGTAAATAAATATAAGGACATGAAATTTTGTTTGGTTTTGTTAATGTTTAAATAGGTAAGGGAATCATCACAGTCATATATTAATTGTTCATGTCAGCATCAATAAGATGCTGATATGAAAAGTTCACCTAAATAAGAAACCAATGTAATAAAGATTAAATGAACTTCATTTTCATAAAGCCTAAAGAAAATCTTTACAAATTCCATTCTGATTACTAGTCATTTCTATAAGTACATCTAGTCTGACCAAGTGTGTTATTGCAGTACCTTTGTCAGGGCTGCAATTCTCTGAGCCAGTTCAGCCTCTACTTCAGGCAAGGTCTCAGCTTTTCTCATGGTCTGCTGCAACTTTTGCTCAGCCAGCTCAAGACGCTCTTGTAACTGTCTGTTCTTCTCTTCCATCTGGAACGGGGATGGGAAAAGAGACACTTAAAGGGTCATGGTTAGGATACCAAGCACCAGCCACTGGGGGTTTGGACCTCACCCATTATCCTAGACTTTAAATCAGCTACCACTACCACACCTAGCATGCAAGAAGATTATTGTTCTCACGTTTTCCTATATTTCTCATTTACATTCCTTAATAACATTCGACACGTTAAAAAAGAAACAGAAAAGCTCTTACCAATGGCAGCAAAAAGAAAAGAAGTTAACAGTGAATATATACTTGGACAAATGGAATACCACTCAGAACTAACACTTCAGATGGACCATGATAGCAAAATATTGAAAATCATAACATCAGCTGGAGAGGGAAAGGTAATGGATCACCACGGTTAAGAGCCCAGGCTCTAGAGATGGGGTTGGCAAGCTTTTCTGCGAAGGGCCAGGTAGTAAATATTTTAGGATTTGTGTTCTAACAATTTGATTCTACTATTTCAGCACAGAAGCAATCATAGACAATAATTAAATAAATGGGTATTACTATGTTTCAATAAAACTTTATTTACAAAACAGAGCTATGGTTTTGGCACATGGGCAACAGCTTGCCCACTCCCGCTCTGGAGTGGGACAGGTCTAAATCTATTCCATTACAGGCTCTGGCAACTACCAGATGCGTGACCTTGGGAAAGCGTCATGTCCTTGAACCTTACTGTCCTCAGTATAATAACTGTGCTTACTTCACAGGTGGTGATTAGATTTAAGTGAAGTAATACATGTAAACTGTTGAGCACAGTTTCTCGTTTGTGTTTAGATCCAAAGTATATAAGCCATTATTTTTATTATTACTATGACAAATTTCTTGATTACATGCTGAAAACCACATCTGTTTAGTTCATTCCATTCTAAATTTTAGAGAAGGATTGATTGACAAGAAATCAAGTATTTTATTTACTCCATGTGTTGTGAGAATGTTGAGGACACACACATGGACGAGAGCAAGACCAACACAGAGATACGGGACCTGCCGCAGGATGGCCTCTTTATTTGCCAACTCGTTTTCTAGTTTATCGTTCATGTCATGGATGGAGGTCGATTCTCTCTGGGCACTGAGGTAACGCTTCTCGAGGGTTGTGATCCTTTCTTCCATATCTTCCTTCTGGGCCATGGCCTACAGTTAAAATAAAAAAAATTAAAAAAATCACATCAGATTTCCCAGTAGTTTAATGTTATTTAAATAAAATAGTAAGACACAAAAACCATTGCTTTCTTGAAATAAATATTAATTTCTTTCTTCTCATGAAAGGAATGTAAGATTTCCTGTGAGTTTCCCCAATAGATCTGTCAGAATTCTTCTTACATCTTGGGTTAATCAAAAGCTCTCTTCCTCTGAGAATGCAGTAAAGTACATTTTGAGACTGCCTGCTGTAGAACTGGCATGCTTAGAAAATATGGGGCAGGTAAATTAGTTCAACACACAATAGACATAAATATAGCTTTGGGTAGAGTTGCATACCAGAAAATTGGTGAAATGGTGTCTACAGTTCAAAATTGCAAAGCAATCTTCAAATAAGGGTTCTCTTAACATATAAGCAAGAGTAACTCAATGGTTAAAAGAGGACATGAAAAAGGTAAATTTGAATCTTATGCACAAATGAATCCATCATTTGACTTTGGAAATTAATCATATCCCTTGTTACATATATTCCAAATAAAAAAAGAACTTAAAGAAATCAATGAACTAATAACTCTAGCAAAAAAATTAAATATCGGTGCAAATGCAGTAAAACCATTACATTAATAATATTTTGAACCATTTAATTCATAAGTAATACGGAGATGATTTTATCTTTCTAAAAAATTCCATGAGAATGTATCAATAGATATATAACCTATCTTTTGATGTGATGTTGGCAAAAGTCAGCTAAAGAAGTGAGCCTCATGGGCCTGGTGTGGTTTCCTGATAATGTGGGAAGCTACTTTGCAAAAAGAGCCTGGAATTGAGGGGATATTGGTGTTTTCCATACATTACTATCAGCTCATCACTAATCCCTTTATTACTCTGCTCCAGGATCCAGAGCCAACCCTCCCACACCCACAGAACGGATTCATTTTCTTCCAATATTCTAAAAGAAATAGAAGCCCCTAAATGGATAGTCCTTCAAATTCTTGGCCTCCCTCACCACCATGTGGAAATTTAACCCCATGTACACAAATTCTTAACCTCTAGATTTAGTTTAGAACAGGTGTTCCACCTTTACTCAAAGTTTAATAATTTTCTGTTTTCAGTATGGAGGTTCCTCAAAAAATTAGAAACGGAGCTGCTGTTTGACCCAGTGATTCCACTCCTAGGAATGTATCCTAGGAATCCTGAAACATTCAACAGAAAGAATAAGTGCACCCCTATGTTCATAGCAGCACAGTTTATAATAGCTAAGATCTGGAAACAGCCCAAGTGCCCATCACTAGATGAGTGGGTAAAAAAGCTGTGGGACATTCACACCATGGAATACTATGCAGCTGTAAAGAAGAAGGATCTTGTACCCTTTGGGACAGTATGGATGGATCTGGAGAGTATTATGCTAAGTGAAATAAGCCAGGCAGCGAAAGAGAAATATCACATGATCTCGCTTACACGTGGAATCTAAAGAACTTAATAAATTGATGAACAGAATAGATTCAGTGACATGAGACTGACGAATGTCAGAGGGATGGAGGAGGGCGGGTGGGTGGAGGGGGAGAGAGTAACCAAAGAATTTATATGCATATATGCACAACCCAAGGACACGGACAATGGTGGGGAGAGGGACTGGGGAGGGGGAAGGGATGGGGTGGAATGGGTCACTGGGGAGAAAAAGGGACATCTGTAATATTTTAAACAAAAATAAAATTAAAAAAAAAAGAAAGAAAGAAATAAAAGCAATACTTAACTCCAAAAAATAAAAAATAAAAAATTCTGTTTTCTGGGTTTTATGCTCTTTCTTCTTTAGGGAACTTGACCACTCCTTTCTCCTGGATTTTCAATGTGACAGTAGAGGTAAATCCTATAGCAACAGCTGAAACAATGAAATGGGCTTACAAAGAAGCTGGTCCAGGTCAGAGGTGGAAGGCAGAGGGAAAAGGGATGACTCAGAAAAAATAAAGACAAAAATGATAAATTATCCGCTTGACCATTGGCCACAATTGAATTGAAGTTATAGAATGTTGACAAACTATTGGAGTGGGTGGGAAGATTTTCCATAGTTTTAAAAATAAATAAGCAAATTAATATAGCAGGTAATTAATTAATAAAATCCTGGAAAAACAGAAAGCTGCACAACAAAAGGAAATACTATCACAGGAAACTCCTCCTTAGATGAGTTGTGGAAATTATTTACATAATTATACTAATGGTAACAATGAATGTGATTTTGAGATAGCCACAGCGGAAGGATGGGAAAAGAAAGTAAGGGAAAGCACTAAGAGAGCTAAAATCCCCATATAATATAATACTAAGACATAGGTGAAGTTTAAATAAGAGAGAAAATACAAGAAGTAATGGCTAAAAAATTGAAATTAAGACTTTCCGGGAAGTGAGAGGGAAGTGGGTGGGGCTATGTTTGTGTGTACGTGTGTGTTTGTGTATGTGTTTCTGTGTGTGTTTAAGATTTGTACCATCTAGATATTTGACTTTGAAAAATTATGTATATATCTTAAAGTTAAATAAGAAGTAATATATGTACCATGAAACTCATCACGTTGTCCTTAGTGACCCTGCCTACCCACAAATCAGCTCTTGTGCCCCTTGGCAATGGAGGGACACCACTCCCCACAGAGATTTAGGATCATTCTTGGAAACTTATTCACCCTAACTCCCACTTTCATAGCCTAACCTGTCATCTTGCTATCGGCCGTTTTTTCCTGCTTACTGATTCTCCACCCCACTGACCCTGAAACAGTTCTAAATGCCAGGCTGCCCATACTGAGTCTTGGTTTTATGTGTTCCCCTCCATCTTTAATGTAAAATCTGAGCTATGAAGTCCAGAGAAGAAGTAGCCTGATGACCTGACACTTCTCTAGCTCTATGTACTGGGATGAATTGTGTCTCCCCTTACATTTCCCCCTCAAAAAATGTATATGTACCCAGGACCTGTGAAATTGACCTTATTTGCAAATAAGGTTTTGCAGAAGTAATCAAGTTAAGATGAAATCATACAGCATTAGCATGGGCCTTAAATCCAATGACTGGTGTTCTTATGAGGAGAGGGAGATCTGGGGACACAGAGACATACAGATTAAAAGGCAATGTGACAAGGGAAGCAGAGGTTGCAGTTATAATGTTGCCAGCTAAGAACATCAAGGAATCCCAGCAACATCCGGAAGCTAGAAGCGGCAACTAAACATTCTTTGTTTGTTTAAAATATTACAGATGACCCTTTTTCTCCCCAATGACCCTTTACTAGATAGAACCTTTAGAGAGAATATAGCCCTACCGACACCTTGATTTTGAACTTATAGCCTCCCAAACCATGAGAGAATGAATTACTGTTATTTTAAATTACCCAGTTTATGGTAATTTGTTACAGCAGCCCCAGGAAACTAATACACTCTGTGACTTCATTTCCACCTGGGATGCATTTTTGTTGCCTTGTCTAGCTCAATCCTGCTGAACTTCAAGGCCCAATTAAAGACTACTTGCTTAATTATGTTAACATTAAGATCAAATATATAAAATCTAATAATCCCTCCATTTGGCAAAAACAAAATATCCAGATTAATTTTTTTTTTTTTTTTGGACATTAGGTACACACCCTTAGATTTCAGCCATCTCAAACAACAATTACTATTTTAAAAGCTTTTATTTTAAATTTTGACTTTTTCTATTTTATACATATTTTTAGCCAATGATGACAGGGTATTTATCTTAGGGGATCCCTTCAGAGTGTGTACAATTATTAATATTTCATTCTGTTAATTTCATTTTCATACAGAACTCTGGGACTACTTTGTCAATGTTTTAGCTCAAAGAGAAAATTCTGAATCTAGCCTGCATATATAAAATTTTTATTAAATTGAAAAAATATATATATCTTTGTTGACTTCAGAAAGAGGAAGGGAGAGGGAGAGAGATAGAAACATCAATAATGAGAGAGTCATTGATTGGCTGCTTCCCTCATGCCCCCTACTGGGAATGGAACCCACAACCTGGTCATGTGCCCTGACCGGGAATCAAATCAAGATCTCCTGGATCATAGGTCGATGCTCAACCACTGAGCCACGCAGGCCGGGTCTGACTACATTTCCTTTTCAAATGTTGCAGGAAAAATAGGTTTTAGCTGAACTTTCAGACTGCACTTTTGGATCAAATACCTAAAGATATCCAATAATAGCTGCTCTTAGATACACCTTTTCAACATTAAGGAATAAGCTGTCTATGTTTTCCAATATGTGTGCTGTGCCTAGACTTATTCCAGTCCCCCACCCTAATAGGTCACTATCAATTTACCAAGCAACTAAAACAAAACTTCAAACACAAATAAATTTGGATAGATTTATTTCTTGACAAAGAATTATTACAGAACTATAATTTGAAACCACTAATAAAAAAAACTTATATAATTCATTTTGATATATTAGAGCATTTTTACAGTCTAATATATGTTTCAGTTTTTAATTATATGGTTAGTTTTTTTCTATTTTATAATTTTTTTCTTAATTCAATAACTGTTTATTGAATTATACTATATAAATATTCAATATATAAATCATACTATGCTAAAAATGCTACAGAGGTAGCCAGAAAAACCACCTTAATTTTTCTTCTACTAAAATACTTGCAATCTAGTAGATTTTCTGTGACCACAGCCCAAGAATACATGTTTATTCATGAAAATAAAAGCTAAGTCTGGGGCCTTAGGCATGACTAAATGATAGCTTTTTTAAGTATGTGATTTTTATATCTTCATGATTATTGGGAAAAAATGATCAAAAGTTTGATTATTTAGGGGGCAGTTATATTGCAGGTGTATTTTTTTTTTTTTTTTTTTTA